TGTGTGTGTGTGTGTGTGTGTGTGTGTGTGTGTGTGTGTGTGTGTGTAAACATATATAAATCTCAATGAATTTTTAAAAAGTATTTTTAGCAGCTTTGAATTATGTGCTTTTAGAACTGGAAAGGACTTAGAAATCACTTAGCTGTTTTATAATTATATAATGCCCTACTTTTATGAGAAGGAAAAGGAGGCTCTAAGAGATGAAGTAATTTTCTATAATAACAAGCATTATTGGGAACTTCTGGTCTTTCTCACTAGTTAGTTAAAGATTGGCCCAGAAGCCCGGTTTCTGAGTGAATGCTTCCTTACATCACTCAACTTCCCCTGGTCCTGGAAGGACCCTTAATTTTCTTACTGTTGAAAACTTTTATTCTGGCTGGAAGAATAAAAAGGAGAGTTAGCCAAAACACTTGCTTTAGGGCAATAAAGTAGAGAAAAATGTAGATGGTCAGAGGCAATGGGCTATCTACAAAATAGGTGCTAAACACATTTGTTTGTAATGATCATTCATATAATTTTGTAAGATTTATGATATATGTTTATATTAATTATATATAGTTTATATGTCTGAACAGAAGAATCACACAAAAAGCAAACTTTGATAAAAAACCGTAAGTTTTAAGAAAATGGCATTATTTCACATGAAAAATAATATGTATTTGTATATGTGTGTGTGGAGTATGTGTGTGTGTGCACGCACCTGTGCACATGTGCATGCACCAGAAACCAAGTGTGGAAATCTTGGTAAAAGTAAAACTATCTATTTGAATTTCATAGATAAAACTGTGGTGCACATTCATGTCTTATATTTCTAGGGTTGATCTTCTAAGAAAAACTTATACATTTTATAGTACCTTCACTTTGACTTTTTTTTCCTCTATTTCCTTTTGTGTGGGGTTCCTTTTTCTACTCTGTTGTGAAATTATGTGACTGGCATATGTCAAGTAGTGATTTGTCCCAACCTCCTCAGTTCTCAACATGAGAGCTACTTCTTTCTGTGGCCTTGGTGTGGGCAAGTTTCCAACCCCATTACACCACATCGCTCATTCTGCCATCTAAGTGGTGATATCAGATAACAGGTGAGCTGGGCAGGGTGGCAGAACCTGCTCCCCCAGTTTGTCCTATGTACTGTTATCTGTATTTAGAAACAAAAAAAAAAGTGATAAAATAGACCACATTTCCTCATATTTTGTCTAACAAATGGACTCTTAAAAAGTACACTGGACAGCTGAAAATTCTTTTCATCGGCTTATATATAAAGTACTGAAGTTCAGGTTCAGAAAAAACAAAAACAACAAAGACCCTTAACTTGTCCTGAGAAACAACTGGCGGAAAGACACTGACAGATAACAAGCAGGCAGCCTCTCTCCCTTTTTTCCCAGTACAAAGAGGAGAGAGACCTTTGGGTTAGTGCTGAAAGTCAAAGGTTGGTGCCTGAGTCAAATAACTCTTCTTCATTAATCTCAAAGCTGTGGGGGAAACAAACAGTAGTTTCGACTTACACAGAAGTCAGGAACTCCTGCAGTATAAACCCCCTCTAAAAACATACTTACAAGTGGGGTGCCTGGGTGGCTCAGTCGGTTAGGTGTCTGCCTTCGGCTCAGGTCATGATCCCAGGGTCCTGGGATGGAGCCCCGCATTGGGGTCCCAGCTCGGCGGGAAGCCTGCTTCTCCCTCTCCCTCTGCCTGCCACACCCCCTGCTTGTGCTCTCTCTCTCTGTGTCAAATAAATAAATAAAATCTTAAAAAAAAAACATACTTAGAGTCAGAGGCCTTGTGGTAGATACTACAAACTTTATTATTCTGTAGCTTTAAAATTTTTTCTTTTTCCTTTTCTTTTTTTGGAGTTGTTTTTTTGAGAAAACAATAAACTTTAAACACTATGATAGCTTAAATTGCTATTAATTGCTGTAAATATTACTTTTATGCAATTGAATCTCATCAGCCTATTGTAAATCTTAAGCTTCAGTTAATTCCAAAGGAAATAATGTTACTGCTCAACTTTAAAATATGACACAATGTGACTGTTGTTAACAGATGAATATGCTATTTGGTTTGACATACAGTATAGACGGTAAATGTGTGCCCATCATCACACTGGAGGGGACTTGCATACTTGCTGCAAAATCAAAACCAGTCTATTTTGTACTTTGATACCTCCTGCTCATAATTTGCTGTGAATAAAAGGACATTTATAAAATTATGACCAAAATTAAGGCATCTTCTCCTTGTGAATATTAACAACATTTGAAGAAATATAATAAAAAAAATTTACTGTAGACTGGCTTTCACCATTCACTCTATTAGGGAGGAGTGAATAGGTGGGAGGGAGATGTTTCCAAAGGTCACTAGGTTGACAAAGCTGTCATCCTCCCCATGAACCTAGGTCAATTTAGTGTCACTGGAGATTGGAGTACATAGAGTAGAACAGAGAAGTGAGTGAGATATATTTTTTTTGTAGAAACCAAAAATTAATCTTTCCCTAAACATAGAAAATTAACAAATCATCTATTTCAAAGCAATACACATATAGTTGCTTCTAAACATGAAGGTTTGATATTTTTTTAAAGATTTATTTATTTTTATTTTAGAGATAGAGAGACAGAGACAGAGAGAGCAGGGCTGGGGGCCAGAGGGAGAGGGAGAGAATCCTCAAGCAGACTCCCTGCTGAGTGTGGAGGACCAGGACCCTGAGATCATGACCTGAGCCCAAATCAAGAGTTGGACACTTAACTGACTGAGCCACCGAGATGCCCCAGAAAGGTTTAATCTTAGTGTCACCATTTTCCCTACAAATCTTTAGATTTTACAAAAATATTTATAAGGAAGTATAAAATAGAAGCATAAGACCTTAGAAAATAAGAAAGCCTGATACAATTAATGTGAAATGAGCCTTGAAAATTGCATTGTATTTCTTTAATCGCTAATGACTGAACCAGGAAAGAAATTTAAGCAAGCATGAATGTGGATACCACATTCCACTGATTTATGTATTTATATTAAAATACATTATTTTTCTTTTTATAACAGTATATATTCTACTGTATTATAACAGTGATACATATTTGTTGTAGAAATTAAAAATCCAGCCATTTAATAATTCACTAATTTAACCAATAAATACTGGATACTTACTGTGTGCTAGGTATTTGGTATATGTTGGTAAATACAACAGGCGTGGATCTGCCCCTTTGGAGCTTAGAAGTTAAGGAATGAGACAAATAACAATCTGCAAACACATAAGTCTGTAATTTAAAATTGGAATGGGTGCCTTGATGAAAACAGAGGTCAGAGATAGAGAATAACAGTGGAGAATCCACTTACATAAAGGATCCTGGGGACTTTGCCTTAGAGGAAGAAATTTCAAGTAGTAAATTTGAAATTTTATCAAAGCAATACACACACGGTTAAAAAATAGAATAGGTCACCTGGGTGGCCCAGTTGTTAAGCGTCTGCCTTTGGAGTCCTGGGATCAAGTCCCATGTCGGGCTCCCTGCTCAGCGGGAAGCCTGCTACTCCCTCTCCCACTCCCACTGCTTGTGTTCCCTCTCTTGCTATCTCTGTCTCTGTCAAATAAATAAATAAAATCTTTGAAAAAAATAGAATAATAGAGAACTTATATGAAAGTAATGATATGCATCTCCCATTGTCAGTGTACTCACCAGATGCACCATTTTTAAAATCTCTTTTGGCTGTTTCCCTTGCTAGTTGCTGCCATATCCCTAAATCACTGGTTTTCAACACCAGCTCTAATTAGAATCACCTGGAGAGGTTAGGAAACAGTACCAAATATGTGGGCCTTACCTGCAAATATTCTACTTTAACTCATTGTGATGGCATCAGCATTGAATTCTGCTTCAGTTAAAGAAAATACTATTTAAGATTCTGATGTTTTGAAATCTGAGATTTGTTTAATTGCATGCTTATGTTCTAAATTGGTACATGTAACATATGATTTGAAAAGAATGTGTATTCTCAAGTTATTGAGTGTAGTGTACTTTAAATGCAATTAGATTAAGGTGGTTGATATTTTTGTTCAGATGATCTATAACCTTACTGATTTTTGTTTTTTTGTTTTATCAAATACTATTAAAATCCTCAACTGTAATTTTGAAATTGTCTATTTTTTCCTTTCATTCTGTCAACTTTTGCTTCACATACTGTGAAGTTTATTAAGCACATATATTAAGGCACATATAATTGTCATGTATGTTTTAAGGTATTGGCCCTTTCTATTATTATGGAGTTTTTCTATCTATGGTCATATCTTTGTCTTGAAGTGTATTTTGCCTGGATTAACATAGTTACTCCTGCTCTTCTATATATATGTTCTTCTATATATATGGAATTTTAAAAGTTTTTATTTAAGCAATCTCTATACCCAACATAGGGCTCAAACTCACGACCCAGAGATCAAGAGTCAAATGCTCTTATGACTGAGCCAGCCAGGCATTCCCTAGAATATTTTTTTCTTTTGTTTTACTTCCAACGTATTTGTTATCTTTAAATTTAGGATATATAGAGAGCATATTGAAGGTTCTTGCTTTTTTATCCAGTCTGACAATATCAGTCTTTTATATGTAGTGTTTAATTCATTTACATTTAATGTAATTTTGTTACAGTTGGTCTGCCATTTTGCCATTTGCTTCTTGTTTGTCTTATATACACTTTTTTTGGTTCCTCTGTTCCTTCTTACTTGCCATCTCTTAGTAAATTTTT